TTATATTAATGAACAGAACATATTTTCATGCAATGCTGAAACATATAAAGAATTTTTCATTTAAAATTTTATCCCTACTTATATGTGATATAGGTAATTTTTAACCTGTTCATCACCTGTAATACATCACTGAATACAGATAACCAGTAACATGTGAAAATAAAAAAAAAATTTTAAGGCTACTGAAAATTCCATCAAGTTAACTTGTAATTTAGCTTTGTAAAATGAGTTACAAAGTTTTCATACCACGATAAATGAAATAAAAATATTTTTAGCAGATTCGAATACTTCAGCAGATTCTGAGTTTTTGAAAAATTGTCTGTTACTTTTAAAGCATCTGAAGTAAGTGCTTAGTCAAAATATACCAGGTCTGATGAGATATTCTCATTTATTTACATTTTTTCAAGAAGTCAATACACATCTTTACAATATTTAAGAAAAATGAATTTAATTCTTTAAATAGATAAGAAAGTATAACCAAATCAAAAAATTAATATCAGAACACATTAGTAATAGACAAGCTATCAAAATAAAAAAATTTAATGAAAATAATCAATTATTGAAAATGAAATATAATAACACTAAATTATATATAAAATTAAAATGACTCAGTAGCTTTTATCTACTTACATCAACTATATTTCGGATAAATTGAAGTATATATTTAATTCTTAATTAGAAAATATTCTTAATTGTTGAATATTTTTCCTTTCATGCATTTTTTAAGAGAAATGTCTCAGTTAAACAAAACAAGAATATATGATATAAATCAAATAAGTAGATTTTTTTTTCATAAGAATTTTTTAAATCAACAATCCTACTCATAAGTCATGATCACTTTAAAAAGATAGAGACTTTATTTATTTACATTGCGGACAATTTTAATTACAATAACAAGACATAATGTAATTTATATTTTTATCCAACTTCTTCTGGGCTAGATTATTCTTTCAGGATGATACCACTACAATTCATTTATCACAAAAAGAACTAGGACAATTTATTACAGGTTTCCAGCCAACAATAGTTTTTATAAGTACTTCTTAGTATAAAACAGGAACCACATAGATCACCTAGAATAACACAACAATAAAACATATTAAGGTATACATAATCCCATATATTTGATAAGCAGATTAAAACTACTACTAATCAATAAACACTATCTAAATTACTTTGATTTAAGTTGTTCGATTTTAAATATCGATGGAATTTTTTACAAATAAGTAAGCTGGATAAAAAAAAAAAGTCTTTTAAAGAATGAGAAAATAGATATCTAGGTCTTTTAATTGGGGGGAGGATTTTTTTAAAATCATTCATATACTTCAATATCGCATTATTTATCTTCGAAGGGACAGCATAGAACAATTTTAAACTATACCTATATCTGATAATGAATATCATAAAATATTTAATAGCAACTAGTGCAAAGCAACTCGTGAAACTAATATATTAAATAGAAAGGTCTAATGAATGTTATATTTTTAAAAAAAAGAAATCGAACTAAAAAAGCGAAAAATATATCATAAAATTCCAAACACTAACTCAATAAAATGATCAACATGCATTTCAATGTTTTTATATTTATTACTGAATTCCATACCTTTTAATTACACCATAAAATCCGAGAATAACTGCATAAAATCTTTGACAAAACAAATAAAGAATATTAATTTTTAAAAATATGAAAGAAGTTCATCCGATTTTATGAATACAAGCATGTTTAGAAATGGCTGTTGTTGTTGTTACTTTACGTCGCACTAGAGCTGCACAATGGGCTATTGGCGACGGTCTGGGAAACATCCCGGAGGATGATCCGAAGACATGCCATCACAATTTTGATCCTCTGCGGAAGGGATGGCACCCCCGCTTCGGAAGCCCGACGACCTGCGCGCGAAGTCGAGCACTTTACGGTAGCACAGTTTAACGAGGACCAATACCGCACACCCTCGGTCCCTACGCAGACTGATCCAAGTGGTCACCCAAACGCACACTGACCGTAGCCAGTGATGCTTGACTTCGGTGATCTGTTGGACCTCTGTATAGAAAAGAATGGAGCACTGTGATCATTTTTTAACCTTTTGACCGCTGTCTGTTCGGAATCGTTCGTAAAATTCCACTACCGATTAAACTCGGAAGATTGTGCAATTTTTGAGGCCCTCACACGAGCGATTAATTCTCACTTGGGCCGGATCACGCTATTGGTCGAAAATGGCATCACTGTTTGGGGTAAGGGAGACGGTGGCTGTTGGCTGGTGTATGTATTGGTGTTGGTGTTTGTATGAGTTTGGCGACAAATTTCGTCTGCACACGTGTTCGCTCGTATTCCGTGTAAATGTTTACGTAATATTATGTCGTCGTTAGTATGGGGGAGATAGGTTCACTTCAGCATTTCAGACAATATTTATGTTTTAATTGATTTCAATTCATCAAAGCTAAAAACAATAAAAATAAAAATAATGAATGTTTTTACAAATATAAGATGGCATTGTAATATTACAAATACGTTTTTTTGTTTGTTTGTTTGTTTTTTCTTAAGAATTATCTCTTGTTGTTGTTGTTGTTAATTTACGTCGCACTAGAGCTGCACAATGGGCTATTGGCGACGGTCTGGGAAACATCCCGGGGGATGATCCGAAGACATGCCATCACAATTTTGGTCCTCTGCGGAGAGGATGGCACCCCCGCTTCGGTAGCCCGACGACCTGCGCGCGAAGTCAAGCACTCTACGATAGCCCAGTTTAACGAGGACCAATACCGCACACCCTCGGTCCCTACGCAGACTGATCCAAGTGGTCACCCACCCTCACACTGACCGTAGCCAGTGATGCTTGACTTCTGTGATCTGCTGGGAACCGTGTCTTAACGATCAATCCACTGCGCGACAATTATCTCTTGCAGTTATGAAGTAGCAAAAATTGAAATAAACATAAGCTCAAATTTACTCATACATTGTAATTTAGTTGTGTTATGAATAATTTTAAAAACTTCATAATCAAGCAACACGCAAATTTAGTTTAAAGTAATGACCAAAATTCTGGGCTACCCCCCCCCCCTGCATTTCTAGAATAGCCCCAGTTGCCAATGACGTAAAAGCAGTCCCAGGTAGCACAAAGATATGATCTAATATTAGAAAGATGCAATATAATACTGCCGTGCTAGAAAACGCTATACTATTGAATCCTATCTTCTAATATTAGAGCTAATATTATATAAAATTAAATAGTATTCGATCTAACATTCGAACTTTCAAAATTATCATATATTTCACTAATTTTGGTCCAACACCACATTTTTGCGAAAGGTTATCCCATATTATTAATAAATAAACATTTATTTATGAAAGAAAACGATAAATTAAATATTACTTAAAATATCATTTTCAGCCAATGCTATTTTATGGCAGATAATATAGTGGTAGTTTGCGAACGATTAAACTCGAAAAACTTTTTCAACTGTTTATGTTGAGTAGTAACTCCTTCTGCTTGTTTACAAGACGACAAGATGGCGATCTTGTTTCCGCTCATGAGCTTTCGTTTCTACTATTTAAAGTATTTATAATTTAGTAGTTTTTTGTAAACTTTATAAATGTCAATGATAGTTACATGATAAATAAGTATCGTAGGTAATGTTTTTTCCTTGAGTTAAAAATCGGCTAGAAAAGTAATTTAAAGCACGATGTGTTTGAGATTGTAGATGTTGTAGAAACATACAGCAGTGTACCTACTTAATAAACTTTACCGCTAAATAAGAAATAATTTATTGATCCTGTATTCAATAAGGTCAGTAAATATTTTATATTGTGATCATTATTGTTCATTCGTAGTTGTTGACTTCTTTGTTGAAACGTATTGTCTAGCTGTAAGTAATAAGCACTGTTTTTCTGCAAAAATTAAAAAGACAAAAGTAATGGTCTGTAAATAAATTAGCCGTGTTAAATAAGAATTATATATGTCTACTTTTAGCGCAGTTAAAACCACTATATTGTAGAATGTTTAAAGTTTAATACAAACAATATTGCTAGCATATTAAAATTTCATGCTAAAAAAATATTGTACAACAATCAATTAAGCATTTTTCTTTAATTATAGACTGATTTTTATTTGAATATAGGCTAATCTGTATGTTTTTGATGCATTATTATTTATATTAATTTGTAAATGATTAAAAAAAAACAATAATTTGGTCTATTCAAAATGGTGAATGTAGAGCTTTAAATTATATTTTTCAAATAAATTCCTGTTAGAAATAATCTAATGCTGTAAAACTTAAGTTAAACTATAAGAAAAAAAATATTTGACAAATGTTGGGTATTTATACTGACTTTTAAAGAATGCTATGTCAAAATATTTGGGGGAAAGGGCGAACTATATTTTATATATTTACAACTTTGAATTATGTGAATTGTTAGAGAATTCTCCTTCTATATGATTTTTTCAACCATGAATTGATGATTTTGAATTCTCATAGTATCTTTTTACATTGATGTTCTTTCACGTTAATCAAATTTTAAATTATACAATGGAAGAAAATAAGCAATTGTTTATTTAACACTTTTCACCACTTTTTTAAATATAAATAATAAGTAAACTAATTGGTTCCAAATATGCTTGTAAAACAATGTTTGCTAAGTAATTTGATCCTGACAAAGTTTTTCTGCAACAATGAAAAAGATAAAAAATAGTTGTCTGTAAACAAATTAGCCAAGTTAAAACAATTAGAAAATTAATGATCTGCTATTTTTAGCTCAGTTTAAACCATTACATTCTGGAATATTTAACATTCAATACAAACAATATTGTTACCGTATTAAAATTTCATGTCTAAAATATTGTGAAAAAAAAGAATTAAACATTTAATTTAAATGAATACAGCCCCTAATCCAGCAAAAAATTATCCCCTAATAACACTGAAGTCTTAAACTTCAGAATAAAGACCATTGTGTCAAAATTTTTTTATACATTTTATTTTCAAAATGTAAAAATTTCAGAATGAAATATTTTTGACAAAAGTGTCAATTTGTATATCTCATATCACTTGTATTTTCATGTTTTTTAATATTTGCATATTTAGAAAATTTTTATAGATTTTCTTATCTAAGTGAAAAGTTTGCTTAAATTGTGATTGTAGGAGGAATAACTTTATTTATTGTGATTTCCAAAGACTGAAAAAACTTGAATCACACTGCTTTCATCATACTCCAGTAAATAAAGCCTGTTAAAATCTATCGACTTATTATTTCTACAAATGTAAATTAAAACAATAACCAAATACCGGGGTTTGTTACCCTGTTATGATATATATATATACAATGAATACTCAAAATGCATATAATTTTCATATTTTTGAGCCTACTCTAAATTTCAGTACACATATTGTAAGACATAAATTTATAAAAGTGAGTAATAATAAAGAAGTCTGTGATGGTGACAAGTTTTCTGCAAACAGTGTATACAATATGCATATCTGCCAATCAGAATTACATTAAAACTACACCATTCAAAAGAATTAAGAGAGCAAGTATATAAAATTAATATTTCATGTGCTCCTTTAATTTTTGTGAACAGTGTATTTGTCATAAGTCGATACAAACTATTTTTTTGGACCACTTTACTTTTTTTTAAAAAAAAAAAGTGGCACATGACACTACAAATAAGTAGAAAAAAAGGAGCAAGTACATTAGTTTCAATGCTTGGAGAATGTTGATTCTGTTGAGAGCAAATCAGACTGAAAGTCACGTAGAACAAACTGAAAACTTAACTTTATTTACATCAAAAAGAATATAAAAACAATAAGATGTTGCCAGCACAGGAAACTCAAAACTATCTAACTAATCTCGAACTCAAACCTCAACATCCTCCCCACCCTGATCGACCTCGAGGGGGATGACCAGAGCTACCGGACGGATTACATTGTGACCATTAACTCTCAGCTCACAGGATCTTATTTTTCCATCTCGTCCTTCATGCAATTTCACCACTCTAGCTTTCTTCCACATGTGACGTGGTCGGACATCTTCTTGTAGAAGTACAATATCGCCAATTCGGATGTTAATGATATTGTCCTGATTACGAACTTGATGAAATGACCGCAACTGAAGAAAATATTCCTTGGACCATTTTTTCCAAAAGCAGTCGAGTAAGTCCTGCTGCTGCTTGTAGATTTTTCTTAGCTTTGTGCTGTTATTTGGGCTGGATGGAATGGCCGTTAGTTTTCGTCCTGTCAAGAAATGGCTTGGTGTTAAGGCTGTGGAACTGTCATCTTCGTATATCAATGGTCGGCTGTTCAGAGCGGCTTCTTTGTTGTTGCATATGTTTCTGCAGTTATATTAATTCCATCAACTATTCGTTTTGCTTCTCCATCTAAATATCCCCGCAAAAAAAACATAATTGTCAATCAGCGATAAACTTTCGTTTTTGTCGATACAGTTTTCGAAACGCTCCCAAACGCTCCCAAAAACTATGGAATTCTTCAATTTCGCCGTAAAACGTATTTATTTTTTATAGTAGGCAACTTTACTGTAACATTTGAAGGCGAAGCTGAAAAATTATTTATATTGGCAGCTGTTTTCGATGTTTCAGAAATTGAATTCGTGCTCCGATTCACTGTTCTTTTGAAATTAAAT